GCCCTCCTGCCCCGGGAACAGGCTTCCAGCCGTCAGTAGAGCTCCCGCCTCGCCCCTCCCCCCTCCCGCCCCAGCACTCCCTCCTCCTGGGCGCCTTCCCCATGTCCCGGGAGCTCAGCTGTGCTTTGGGGAGCCTGGCATGCAAGCCCTGAGCGGGGGCCCACTGACGCCTCCTGAACTGGCCACCCTGGAGGCGGGGAGGCCACGGGAGAGCTGGGTGCGGTTCCTACAGAACTTGGGGGAACCTCTGTGGTGCCATTTACTTATGGAGCAGCGCCCCCCCCCCGCCCCCCCGTGCATGGGGAGGTGGGGGCAGATTCCCGAGGGCGAAGTCCAGAGAATGACCCCAGAGCTGTGCTCTCTAGCTCCCCTGCCCCCGCCCTCCTGCAGCCGCACCGCCTTTCCCACCGTGTCTGTCTCCCCACAAGGCCGTGGGTGACGCCTGTGACAGCAGGAAGGAGGGTAGGGGGGGGGACCCCATCCCTTACCTCATCGGGAGGAAAGAGGTTAACCTACAGGGTATGAAATTACCAGAGCGAATTTTTTAAACAGCAGGGAGAGAAATGACTGCGCAGCTTTGGTTTCTAAAATAACACTTTGGAGCACATGGGCGATTAATAAATGACGCCATTAACACCTGAGCGCGTGACCCTTGGGCTCAGGGCGGGCTGTCTGCGCCCATCAGTGCGGCGGCCTCGGAGGAGACGGGAGTCTGACGCCCAGAGTGAACTTGGAGTCCAAAGTGCCCCCCCGCGGGCTGGGCGTTTTTTCTCAAGTTCAATAATATTTTAGTGAAAAATACTTGAGATGGACAAAGAATGGAGTTGCCAATGCAAAGTTCACTGGGCTTGCATTGTGGTGCAGAGAATGATTTAGCTGAGTTCCTGGCGTTACTTATATTTCAGTTTTGACAGTGGCAGAGCTAAGGGGGATATTAGCGGGATCCACTGAGAAATAGAGATACATCTGTGTCCCAAGTGCTGTACTGGGCCCCAAGTCATTTAACAAACCTACTATGTGCAAAGCACAGGCAGTAAAAGAATCACTTAAAGGAAATGCCGGGGCCCAAACTTCCAGGTATAAACTAGTCCTGGGGATGTGATGCGTGCATGGTGGCTGTAGCTATGAATAGTGTCGTATACTTGACGGTGAGTAAGAGAGTAGCTCTCAAACATGACCATCGTAAGAAAACACTAGCTGCATGGTGGCGGGTGTTACCGGACTCACTGTGGCCGTCATGTCACAGTACAGCGGACCCTTGAGCAACATGGATTTGACCTACACGTTCGTTTATATGTGGGTGTTTTCAATAAATACAGTCAGCCCTTCCTCTCACGGATTTCACATCTGTGGATTCAAACACCCATGGACCAAAAATAGCATTTGTGTATCCCCAACCTGCGGGCTCCCGACGGTGGGTTGCAAACACTGTTTTTGATCCATGGTTGGTTGAATCTGAGGTTGCAAAGGGCCAGCTATGGTTAAGTTTTGGGAGAGATGAAAATTATACGCAGACTTTCGACTGTGCAGGCATCTGTACCTTTAATCCCAAATTCCAGCAGGTGATAATTATGCAAGAAGTTCATCAGAAGGCTGATGGACCTTGGGGCTTCAGCAGGGCTGAAGATCTGCAGATATAACTGCCTGCTGCCAGACAGCTGAGGGCATTCCCCCAACCTGATGGTCCTTTACTGTTAACCACACCTGACCTCTGATATATATATCTGCTTTGCTGTAGGGCAAAATCCATATATATAAAAGCCAGGGGCCATCATGAACAAAACAACTGGACAGACCAAACAGGCTGCGTGGGGGGGCAGCCGGCAGGGGGGGCAGTAAGGGGTGACCAAACAACTGAACAGCAGGCTGTGTGGGGTAACCAGGCTGGCAGGGGGGCAGTTGGGGGCAACCAGGCTGGCGATGGGGGGTAGCAAGGGGTGACCAGGTTGCCAAGGGGACAGTTAGGGGCAACCTGGCCAGCAGTGGTGGCAGTTAGGGGTGACCAGGCCAGTGACGGGGATGTCCGACTGCTGGTTTAGGCCTGATCCCTGTGCACGAATTTCAGACATCCTCCAAGGAGTCCTGGATTGGAGAGGGTGCAGGCTGGGCCGAGGGGACCCTCCCTCCCATGCACGAATTTCGTGCACCGGACCTCTAGTAAGGGAATAAAAAGCCAGGGGTCCAGAGATTCAGAGCGCTTAGTCACTAGAGCTAAGTCTCCCTTGGCTCCCCCAAATTTATATTTCATGTCTAGTTTATTTAATTTACATCGCAGCCCCTTCTCCAGATTCCTGAACCCTTGCAGCAGCGGATAAGACCCTAGCACCACATTATTCAAGGGTGAACTGTATATATATGTGATGAATTATCATGTTGTGCGCCTGAAACGAATGTAATGCTGAGTGTCAATTGCATCCCAATAAAAAAATGCTGGGTCCTGGGGAGGTGAGGGCTCTGTGGGAGGACTGCAGCCAACCTCTGACCCACCACTTAGAACTGGACACGTAGCGCCGACTGCACACGGCGCCCTCGGGCAGCACAATGCCGCAGGGTCCCGTGTGCAGCTCCACAAATCATAAGGGCCGTCATCATGCCCTGGGAGGCTTTTCAAACACACACGTTCCTGGGTTCTGCCCAAGGATTCTGATAACAGAAGGTTCTTAGGTGAGGTCAAACAGCAATCTTTTAAATGGTGTATCGTGAAATTCCTGGAAACCTAATTCATAGCTTGCAAATTACAGCTAGAGACAGCTGGTTATAGTCTGTTTACTAGTAAGATGGTTAGGGTGAGCTCATAGTTCCTGTAGGTTGGGAACAATAGATTGAATATATATGTGCTTCTGTTTGTCCATTATAGGATGACAGTTAGTCACCAACTTTATTCTAAACTAGAAGCCCAGTACACCAACTTTATTCTAAACTAGAGGCCCGATCCCCCGGTGTACGGGGGGATCAGGCCTAAGCTGGCAGTCAGACATCCCTCTGGCAGCCCGGGAGCCCTCGGGGGATGTCTACTTGCCAGCAGGGAGCAGGCCTAAGCTGCAGTCGGACATCCTTAGCGCTGCTGAGGAGGCGGGAGAGGCTCCTGCCACCACCGCTGTGCTGGCAGCTGGCAGCCTGGCTTGTGGCTGAGCAGAGCTCCCCTGTGGGAGCGCACTGACCACCAGGGGACAGCTCCTGCATTGAGCATCTGCCCCCTGGTGGTCAGTGTGTGTCATAGTGACAGTCATTCTGTTGTTAGGGTCAATTTGCATATTACCCCTTTATTATATAGGATATCAGGTTCATCACACCTGGAAAGTGTGATTTGAGAATGATTGGTACTTGGCACTGAATATGGGCACCTCCCTGTAAACCATTAGCCCAGCCTGGCCACCGTACCTTTACCCAGATTCAGAAATAGCCAAGACCAACCAAATGGGACACACCAAGGCCGCTCATTCAGAGCTTGCTCTGCACAGCCAGCCACCTGCACTGTGCTTGGCAGAGACTCCAAGGCAGGCAGTGGGGAGGGAGCGCGCTGCAGCGGGACAAAGCGAAGGCTCCGCTGTGCCCTGTGGAGGCCGGCGGACTAGAAGTAGGGTGTCCTGTGCAGTTGGTTAGGGCTCATGCTTGGTTTTCTCTGGCTGGTCCTAAATAGGAAGCAGGGACAAAATTTCAGGAAGCTGTCAGTTATTGGTCAAGGCCTGGTCATTTTGGATCAATTGGTGCAGAAGTTGTTATTTCACTTCCTAGACTGTCCCTAGCAACAGCCATGTGGCCTCGCTCAGGACCGGAGCAGAGCAGGCTGGCGTCCTGGATGTTAATTGCAGATACGGTCGGTTTAAAACAGGTTGCCATAGGCTGTGGGTCAGGGTTCTATTTTTTCATGTGGTTTGACCTTTGTCTGTATATTTAGTCTCTCACGGCTATGGCTCTTGTTAGAGTTTCTGATGCCGTTAGTTCACTGTTGACCAAAAATCCCCTCACCCCCTGGGGTCTCCCTCTGGCCATGTGTGGGTTATTAGGTGGCGTATGGATGGTACTTCGGGGTCTACAAGACTTTTCTCGTCCTCCATCGTCACTCAGGTACCTGCCTTAGAGCTGCCAGCTTGGCGCCTGAGCAAGTAGGTCAGGGGTCCTCAAACTTTTTAAACGGGGGGGCCAGTTCACTGTCCCTCAGACCGTTGGAGGGCCGGACTATAGTTTTAAAAAAAACTATGAACAAATTCCTATGCACACTGCACATATCTTATTTTGAAGTAAAAAAACAAAACGGGAACAAATACAATATTTGTATTTGCATGTGGCCCGCGGGCCGTAGTTTGAGGATCCCTGAAGTAGGTTCTGCAGGAAGTGCCCAGGGAGAGCGTGGCAGCGCTTTAGGCGGCTGTTGTGTCTGCTTTAAGAGCTTTAGTTCCTTCTCTGAATGAAATGGGGCGTGGTAGTCGGGCAGTACTATTAGAGACGGGACGTTGTTTGTCCTGGAAATTTCCTTTCCTTATAACTGTCCCTTTTCTAACATGATTCTGAACATTTGTTCTGAGATCCAAAACTCTAGGAGGTAGCCCAGGGAGCCTGGGCCTCCCGGAACCTTCTGGGACCGAAGGAGAGAGCAGGAGAGAGGCTCTGGCTTAAGCTGGGCCGTGAAAGCAGACACTGAGACGGGAGATGGGAGAAAGTCGCTCCGCGGGAGGCTGGTTCCACCGTTAACCTCCGTCCGCTGTCCCCCCAGGTCTGTGGGCGGGGATCATCGTCTGCACCGTCTGCCAGGCCGTGTGCTTCCTGGGCTTTATCGCTCGGCTGGACTGGGAGAAAGCCTGTCAGCAGGTAACGCGCTCACTGCCGCCGGCCAGGTCCTCCTCGGAGGGTCCGCTCGGCTCTCCTCTCTCCCCTCCCCTTCTCTCTCGCTCTCATTCTCTTTACTCTCTTGTTGTGGTTTTATCTGCATCTAATTCAGACTTGAAGGCCAGATGACCCTCACTTTACTCATTCCCCTTTGTTTATTCATCAAATAGAAAAATGGGGGTTCCTTTCGTCCTGGGATCCCATGCTGGGCCACTTCCCTTGTGTCTGACAAGCCAATTTCAGGAAAATGTGGAACTGGAAAGGTGCTGTGCCATCACGTGTCTCCTGATACTGTTTTTATGACCCCAAAACATTCTGTTAGGATACATGTGTGCACCTTTCTCCCCCACTTTCTAGGGTCAATGTGGGGTTTGAAAAGTTGGTGAGGGATGAATGAGATAA